TACATACATACCTACATACCTACGTACCTACATACCTACATACCTACATACATACCTACCTACCTACCTACCTACGTACGTACGTACGTACATACACATATATCCCTATACCACCCTCATATACCCGTCTTCAACACCTATAAACTCCTAGAGTATACACGCTCTGCATAACACCTATATGAGCTATCGTCTAAAACACCTAGTATCCCCCTTAATAACCCCTATACTAGTCCCTTATATAATCCCCTATACAGCCCCCCTTTAAGGAGTTTAGGGTCTAAAGCCTAAACCCCATATTACAACCCCCCTTTTGGTTACATGGAGTTCCAGGTTGGTAGCTCAGATCATCCCGACGAAGCCTTTTACCCCAGAGGAGGGGTGCCTTGAGCTGGCTCGCGAGGCTGCTGAGGAGAGCCTCTTGTTTTGGGCTTTCTTCTTGGCTTAGGGTTTAGGGTTTAGGGGTTATATAGGGGTTCTACTGGAGTTATATAGCGGTTACATTAGGATGTAGGGCTCACTCCAATAGGGATATGCGGAGGTCATGTAGAGGTACACAGGCCCCTTTAAGGGAGATATAGGGTACATTGCGATATAATAAGATGCAAATCTCAAACCTAGAAGATAGTAGAGAATCACGGGAATCAAAATGGAAAACGAAATGGAAACCAGAATGGAATGAAAGGTGGGTTGAAGAAGGGCTTCGGGTTTAAGGTCTAGGGCCTAGGGGGTTTAGTAAGTAAATTAGGCTTTGGGCGCTGTCTCAAATCGGGATATGTAGGGATATATAGCGCTAGGTAGGTACACTATGAAACACGTATTGTCCAGGAATTACGGACGAATCAGTGATTAAAAAACTCCAGGGGAATCAGCGAAGTTAAGCGCGAAGCCCTTGCTCTACTACAGGGGCCTAAAATCATTACCCATATCATTTTGAGGTCCATTTGAAGTACCACAGGCCATAATTATATAAGGAACATGGAGCCATAATAGTGGTAATTATCTAGGCCTCTATTTTACTTTGCCTCCTTCTCCTCCTGCTTCTACAACCCATCGCTTCCACCCTGTTAAAATAATAGTACCAGTAAAAGTAATGATGAATAAAGAGCAATAAGAATATTAAAAGTAATGGTAGCAATACTAATAGTAACGGGAAAGTTATCAGTAATAATACTAGTTATAGTAAAACGAATGGTAGTACCGGTTCAGGCCTGCCGACGGGGTATCTGCGTCCGACGATCCCCAGTACCATCCGTACGGGCTACGGATGCCACGCTGTCTATGACCTCATGGGCCTCTAGTTAGCTAGGAATGAAGGAATGGATCTTTATAGTAGTCCCATTATGGGTTTGGGTTTAGGGTGTAGGCTTTAGGGCTTAGGGGGGAATGGATCCTTATCGTAGTCTCTATAGAACCCATTACGGTTGTTTCCATTTTCTTTTCCATTCCTTCATTCCCAGCTAACCAAAGGCCAGCTCATGCGCCACAGAGGAGCCGTCATCCTAAAGCATCCCCACACGCAACTGGGGCGACAGGGCTAATTGCATACAGAACAATAACAACACGCTATCAGCGCCTAATTTGCACTTCATGCGTTAAACCACTTCGAGAAACAGATGGTTTCGCCCCAGAGACTTAAGCCTGTGTCATGTTTCGGGAGAATACTATAGTCCCCCTTAGTAGATAGAATATGGGGTATATGGAAATCTTATTATAATATACCCAAAGCCGTATTAGATCTACTTAAGGGGGACTATAACCTGAAGATCATGGTGGACTTCGACTGCTCATATGGAATCCTGAACCTTCATCCAACGAAAACACCAGACCATGGCTAAGGCCCTTAACCCTGAACCCACTTGCAAAGGGCTTAGGGTTTAGGGTTTACAGGGGTAACCTAGGGGTGATATAGGGATATATAGGGGTGTAGGCTTCAGGATTTAGGTTATTTTGCAAAGGAACTGCGATGGGAGCATCTTCAAAGGATAGCATAATGCATAATGGCGACCCCGGTTCCAAAACCCCCCCTAAAGCCTAAACCCTGTACTCAGCCCTAAACCCTAAACCCTAAACCCCAAACATTCCTCAGCGCCCTGCCAGCAATCCAGGCAGGGGTCCGCCAAGAACCTGACCCACGGCAACCCAGAGAGCTTCTCTGACAGGTTAGGGTAAGGGGTTACAGGGTTTAGGGATTGGGGTTTGGGGTTTAGGGTTTAGGGTAGATGCTGAAAAATTGGGTATATACCTTAGAGATCCTAAAGTGACTATCCAGTCATTGTGGTGGCCCCTTAAGACAAGGTGGGAAAAACGTGTGGAAAATCTTGAGAAACACCTGTCTTTCATGGCACACGCAACTGCAAACATCAGCGCTTGCCAGGTGAAGCGGGAACATCAAATTAGTGGAATGCTGTCATCCTGATCCTTAAGCTTTGCAGAAGTCCTGCGTCGTTCCCCGATATAACTGCCAAAAACTAAACATTCAAGGAGTTTTAAACCCCAACCCTAAACCCAAACCTCTTAACTATCAACCCAAATCAGGCAGAGGGACCGCTCGGCCCGCCAACTCTGTGCAAACATCATGCAGCTCTTGCAGAGTGCTGCAAGCCTCAGAGGAGGTCAAGGCTGACAAAGGCAAAGGGTTTAGGGTTTAGGGTTTAGGGAACGTTTTAGAGTTCTGGCGTAGGAGCGTATATGGGGTATACAGGGGGCGTGGGAGGTTATACAGGGAGATAGGGAGTTATGTACGGAATTGTACGGATAATGGAAACCGAAATGGAAGCTACTGTTTAGGGTTTAGGGTTAAGATAACTCCCAATAATGAAGAATCAAAAGGAAAGGAGAGAACAGTGGATTGTGGTTTCCAACAATTAGGGACACCTCTTGGGGAGTCCCTATACCAGCAGTTATAGAAAAGTTGTTCTTGATTGGGGTTACCACTTCTAGGTCATATATTTCCCTTGGGCCACGGGGAAAGTTAACAAAGCCCCGCCAGGGTTTGTGTTCCTGTGGAAACCTAGGCTTGCGGCATATTTTTTTAACGTGTCAAGCTCCACGCACCCAGAACTACCCTAAACCCAAAACCCCTATATCCCTAAACCCCAATCCCTAAAAGCCTTCGTTAAAAGCACTAAGATCCCTGAGAAAGCCCCAAAAAACCCACAGCGTGGTACCAGGGCGTCCAGCGCGATGCCTAATTCTTTGCAGCGCTTGCATGGCACGCTCCGCGACCTCATTCTTGGCAGGTTGGAAAAGTCTTGTCATCAGGGGTTGGGTTTAGGGTTGCATGGCTCCTTTCCATCCGCCAGTGCCGAAGGAATGATTTACTTTACGGAGCCAGAAGTGGCCCGGGCAACTACGTCGGCCGAACCAACAAGAGGCTTAAACTTGGCTTACAACCCTTTGCTCCCTAGGAATTTGCCCTTACTCAGTAGTCGACGTTCCAGAACCACGAGCAGCATCAGTCAGGGTTTAGGGCTTAGGCTTCCGCACCTCACGAATTCCATGCTGCCCAAAATAGCGGGACCCTAATAGACTCCAAAATACTATAATCCTTATTATGGGGACCCTCAAATAGGTACCCCTATTTTGGGAAACTCCAAAATCTTAACAGAAGATTATGCACTTCTATAACCCCTGTAATATAGTAGCTTCCATTTTATTTTCCATTATTGCAGTATAACCCTAAACCCTAAACCCTAAACCGCGTGGGGAATGCTAAACTAAGTCCTCCCCGCCTCTTGTGGCCGGGCGCGCGCGGCAAGCTGTGCCTCCAACCTCGGATGAAGACCAAGGGAACCTTCTGGTCAATGTGGGTTTAGGGTTTGAGGTTTAGGGTTTAGGGTTTAGGGCTATAGTCTGAACTCCTTAAAGGGGTTATATAAAGATTCTAGCGGGGACTAGTATAGTCTAGGGATTATATAAGGTTTAGGGTTTAGGGTCTAAACTCCTTAAAGGGGGTTGTATAGGGGATTATATAGGGGACTACCATCGGGCTTGATGGTAAACATTGTTGTGCATAGCGCGACTTGTCTTCAATGAAGGGCATGACCCGTGTCACGCTACTAAACGCAGCTGAAGTCCTTAGCCCCTTCTACTGAAAGCCCTGAAACACCCCAACGACCCTAGATATCACCCTCACTCCCTCACCCGAAGGAGCACGGTCCCCGACATTTCATGCACCCGCTGTGCGGAGAATGTCCGTTCTGTGTCGATCCAGAACACCTTCGCGGGCTTACTTCGGCTCTAAAAGATAGATGTTCACTGGCGCAGAAACATCGGCTTCATTCCGGGTTTCTCGGGATGTTTGCTAGAAGGAAACCCATGTCCCTGCTCTATGCAGCTCATGGATTGATTCGTGGCTTCTTGTAAGAAGGATTGTGTTTGGCAATGTCGGAGTCTGGTTACAACACGGCTCGAAGACCAAACTTCGGGGAATCAGAGGATTATCAAGGTTTGTCAGCGAAATAGCATAAGCAACTACTCAAGCTTCTACAGGGGAGCCTGTCAAATGATGCTATCATCTCGGGTGCCCTATATACTAGGTGCCGTATGAGATGGGCAAGACCGTCTTTTGACAACCTACAGCCCCTATAAACCCTATGACCCCAGTTTTCATGTAATTGTCCATCTGCTTTTCTATTTGATTCTCCTTTACTGGGGGAGATATATCCCTAAACCCTAAACCCTCAACCCTAAACCCTGAATAGTAGCTTCCATCTTCGTTGGCAGTATCCCCAAAAACTTTCATAACTCTACAATACATCCTCGAGAACCCCTGAACCCTAAATCCTCAACCCTAAACACCCTAAACCCTATACCCTATCAGTTTGGGCAATCTACCCCAAATGTAGGGTGAGCGCATCGTGGCCGGAGAGTGCTGTCAGCGCTGCGGCATGCAGGCAAAACCTTGCTGCGTTGTCTAGGGCTTATAGTCCCCCTAAGTAGATAGAATATGGGATATGCGGGGATCTTAGTATAATATACCCAAATCCTTATTCTATCTACTTAAGGGGGACTATAGGGTTTTAGGGTTTAGGGATTACTTGGAGCGTCAGGGCGACTTCATAAGTGGGTTAATAAGTAGGATAACTCGAGTGACTATGTTGGCTAAAACGGCTATTCACCTACTTACTAAGTCCCCCTGACCCTCGGAGCAGAGTTTAGGGTTTATGGTTTGGTTGTCTTTGAGAGGAATCTAGAGGTTCTGTAGGGTCATTTCAGTTTAAATAGAACTACACCGCGTTTCAAGGCATATTTAGGATTTCGGGCTTACGGTTTAGATGGCTCAGGGTTCGGGTTTCAGGTTCCAGGGCTTAGGGTTCAGACTTAACAGCCATGCGGACTGAATCTCTGCTAACGCCCCTAGTAGCATCAGCTTCAGTTGCGGAACCAACCATAAGCCGAAATCCATACACCATGAGCTTACTCGTGGTAAGCAGGGAATAAGGGAATATGTTACATAAGGATTATATAGGGATCATGTTCCCTTATTCTGAACGAACCACCAGTAGGTGAACCAAAAGCCGCAAATGTTCCTATATAGGGGTAATATGTTATTGAGGTTAAATTGGGGGTAATGGAAAAGAAAATGGAAACTACCATACTGAGCTCCAAATATAACCCTAATATTACCCCAATACAAACCCAATATTTGAAGAATCTCTGAGGCTACAACAGTTGCAGGAAAGAAGGGGGCATGATGTGTGACAACGCTATTGCTGGCTTGTAGTCCCCCTTATGTAGATAGAATATGGACTTGGCCAATATCATAAAAAGACCCCATATTCCCCATATTCAATCTTCTTATTAAATATTCCCTACATATTATATGCCGCATAATGGCAGTATTTAATATTAGGGTGGTTTTTAGTATTAGGGGCAGGGGATTACACTGAAACCAAAACGCCTAAATCCTACATCCTACACCTCCAGATCATCCTGTGGGACTACATGGGTGGTTGTCAAAATTATTTATGGTCCCTTTTTGGGTACCCTAAATATTAGGGGCCGTATTATAGTAGGGACCCAAAAAAAGGACCATAATTTTGACAACCACCCACATCTTAAGCAGAGGGCTGTGTCTTCCCGACGCCCGGCGGCCCAGCCACCTGAATAGATTTGGCAGTTCTTTCAATTTTCTCCAGAAAAACCCTAGTGCGGATCTCGTAACCTGTCATAGCCATGCATGATTCCGAGGGTTGAAGGCTCGGTATAGGGTTTTCAGGGGGTGTTTGGGCTCAGGGTCGCTAAGCCCCATATATACTTATATATAAACCCTAACCTATATATATACATATAGAAGTTTGCCGTATGGTTGAGCCCAGCCCTGCCTCCACCAGCACGGACGAGAGCCCGCCCGTACCCAAGGCATGGCTCAATGAAGGCAAAGGAGCAGGCCGGGGCCTCAGACCACGGAGCGAAGGTTTAGGGCTCAGGGTTTGGAGCTTACGGCTTATAGGGTTTAGGGCTTAGGGTTTACGGCTTAGGGCTTAGGGTTCAGGGTTTGGGGCTTAGGGTTTAAAGTTTTTGGTTGAGGGTTTAGGGCTCAGGGTCTTCTAGGGTTTAAGGCTTGGGGTTTCCCAAATTAGGGGTACCTGTATGGAGGGATATAGGGGTGCTAGAGGGATATATATATATATATATTCGTGTATATATATATATGGTTTAGAAGGAGTTTAGGATTTGGGGTTTCCCCAAATTAGGGGTACCTTTTGAGGTTCAAGTTGCGAGGGCTATATAGGCCTCCTTTGAAAGTACACACCTGATGCCTACCCCACCTACCAGGCATTTAGGGTTCTAGAGTATTGGGATTTGATGCTTTGGGCTTTAGGGCGGAAGGGTGTGGGGTTTTAGGGTTAAGGGGGGTTAGGGCTTCGTGTCTAATATTAGCTTTCATGCTTTGGGGTTGGGGTTGAGCGAACGTCTTTTGTGGTGTCATCTGGCGAAGACATGGGCGGTGAAATCGGTTATGAGCCATAGTCTAAACTCCTAGTATCCCTCTTAATATCCCCTATAGTAGTCCCCTAAATGATCCCCTATATAACCTCCCTTTTAGGAGTTTGGACAATGGCTCATATACAAAAAAGTTTGTGGTGGGTTCCGTTGCCCACATCAGTTTTCAAGAACTTCAAGATGTTTGAAACACCCGCTCGGTCCAAAGCAAGGTTAGTCTATCGAAATTCAACTATTCTTGGTACTACTACTGCTGCTCTGACTCTACGTTTGGGGTTTACTGAGCGGATTGTTCAGATACCTTCTGTAGTTTTACTTGCCACAGCACAAGATCCAAATTTAACGACTTTTTATGTATTTGTGGAACTTGGATATTGAATTCTGTTTTTAAAATATTGAAATGAAACGCGATCCCGATGAATCTAGAATGGTCCAGCGACTCCACCAACAGAAGACTTTGGCTGTATGAGGAGTTGTCAGCCAAGTTTCTTCCACGACACGTGTTTTCATGTGTCTTGCGTTGAACCACGGTTCTACTAAGTGAGATGTAATCACAAAGAATCCTGCGCAACGGCTTTTTGGATGTAAGGTTTTCCTAAACACTCTGGAAAGTGAAGCTGTGCTGTAGCTTGAACACCCCAGGCAGGTACATCATGAAAAGCTGGTTACCTATATTCATACCTATCAGAGACTATAGGATACTACCCGGTTGTAACTTGGGCTTTCACTTTCCAGTCTGGTTTGGGGTTTGGAGGCCTCTGCCAAGTTAACTTCTGGCTATAACCTGACCAACAAGCCTACAATAAGGCTCACAGATGTGGGGGCTAGATTTAAAGGTCCTGTGGGAAGATTATATAGGGTTCCTGTATGTCTACAATGGTTTAGGGCTCGGGCCCTCAAATATGGGGAACACCATGTTCCATAATGGCTATTTTAGGAACAAGAATTTCGATCAACTACCACATATCATCTCCAGGACAGACACATGGCAACCTGACCCTCAGTCACTGAAACGTACAAAGTCAAAACATGGGAGCTGTCTCTACAAAAACCTATAGACACCGCATTAAAGGTAGCTTGAGGACTTTGGAAAATCTATTGCAGTACCAAACAAATAAACCAGTGTGTCACTCCTATGCGCGCACGTGTTTGAAGGGTCCCCCGCTGTAGCAACGCCTCAGCATCTGCAGCGAGGTCCTGAAAGCGGTTGCAGACATAAACTTCAGCCCAGCCGCACATCATCATGTGTCTGCCATACAATACGGAGAGATGGCATACCAGGATATTTCGGAAATTAAGGATGTGGATGC